CTCCCCCTCATACACACACTGTGTTTCTAGTCACTTGCTTAGAACAGAATTCTTCCAGGTCCCAATAGGAAATCAGCTGCAGGATTAGAAATAATGAAATTCGATTAACTCCCTAAATTGATTTGTATGTTTACAAATACTAATGTATCTAAACTCTGCCTGTTTATCCCTCGATCAAATTCTGAGATACCTAGATTTACTTAGCATTATTAGAATTCAACCAAGATGACACTTTTTAACATCACGATAATGAGACACTTTTCCTATAGAGAGCAAAACTGCTTTTGAGAAACTTAAGTATTTCTTCATTCTTGTTTTGTCTTGTGAAAAAAAAATGTACCAATGTTCAACAGCATGTTATTAATATCCACTTAATATCCCCATTTTCCAGTTGGGGGCTGGATACATCAGGATAGAGTAGATTATGTTGTGGTAGCAATAATCCCTCAAATAATGGTGGCTTCAGACAGCAATAGTTAGCATTTTACATACACTACCAACCACTGCAGATTAGCACTGCAGGCTTTAGGTTCATAGTTCACAAGGATTTGAGTTGATGGAAGGATGCTTCAAAGGTGCTGGTAACCGCACCAAAATTAAAGAGAGAGTTTATTTAACTACCCTCTGAGTCCTTAAGCTTTAACCCAGGACTAATTTCTATTTACACTTCTTTGGACAAAGGGACCAAGAAAATACCAACTTACCATGTGTTTAAAAAGAAAACCAGAAAAATTTGGTAAACAGAACTGATGACTACTGGAAACTGTCTTGATTATCAAACATTTGATTCATAATCATTCTTACACGCAAAACACATCTACACATACCCAGGAGAAACAACTCAAATTTTTCATTGATTACAGCATCAAACTCAAAGTCCAGGATCTTGGGATAACGCAGAGTGGTCTCTTTATCATTCATCATCACTCTATCCAGGAAAGGAAAAGCAAAGGGCACACAGGAGTTACTGGTCCATGACAAATCTAAAATCCTAGACAGATATTTTGAGGGTCCCTATCCTACAGTGAAGAATATTCCTTGATTAGTCCCTGATGACTTCCCTGTCCATGGTTCCCTGTGGTCCTTGGATTTATCTTCTCAGTTTGTTCCTTTTTATTATACTCTTTGGCCACATAAATAAGCATCAGAGAGGGGCCTATTGGGGATTGAGCAGCTTTTTCAACCCACTTCCTGATCTTAGACAGTTTTAACTGCAAGAATCATTTAAATCTTGAGCTTTTCTAGGTGTGTGATTTTTTTGTTAGTACCCGATATTTTTAAATTTAATTAGGCCTCTTATCAACTTTCTTCTGATAATTTTCATATGTCAATAATTGTACCTATGGTTCTTTTCTAGACAATATTCTTAGATTTGATCTATTACTTTATTTTGCCACTTCCAACTCTCTCGTCTTAACTGCTGATACCTTGGGGTATCAGGTTTTCATGGAAGACCCACAACTTCAATTTCTTTTCTCTTAGCCCCTTTTGTTCAGTTGAAAGCATTTACAGGATGTAAGCTTGATCCATCCAGAAGCTTTAACAATAGGTGGCCCTTGCAACAATAATAAGAATTTCTTATTCTTATGTTTTACTATTTGGATTGGAAAGCAATCAGGCAAGATCTTGAGTTTTTAAAGTTTCTCTGTTTCCTTTCTATTCCTGCTTGCAAATTTACAAAAATTTTCAGAAAAAAAAAATTAGAATAACTCAGTCTTTCTTGTATGCTTTGCAGAACACATCCAATAATAGCAAACCCACCCTAGCCAGTCCCACATATTTTAGCTTATTTGTTACAGCAGCATCCCAAATTCTAGCTACCAATTCTTATGGCAGTCAGGGTAGACAGGTTTATACACCAAACTCAAAAACAACTCCAAATCTCAGTTGGAGTTAGAAGGGAGAAAGGTGGGTGGGGGCAGGGAATAGCGGCTGTTTCCTTTTCAAGCTGTGTAAGCATCACAGATAGTCAGGGATATCCATTCATTGCTCTCATTCAGGGCCCCAGCCACTACCTCAGAAGTCGCTGATCATCACTCTCAGGCTTAAAGAGAGAACGTGCTAAATCACATACCAGCTCGCAAAGAAATCACCCAGAAGGGCCATGTATCACAGAAGCCAAAGTAAGCCACATGGCCGCAGTTAACTCTATGGGAGCTGGAATATGCCCAGAAGGAAAACTGGATATACTTAATGAACAACTTGGATTATCACAGAGGAGGACTTAGAGGAAAAGATTTAGTGACTTAATTAATAAGTGATAAAATAGCTCAGCAAATCAAAGGAAGAAATGCTCTTCCCACCATCAACTTAAACTCAGAGAGTTTCTAGATTGTAGATACTATATAAAACCAACAATGTAAAGGAACAGTTTTTGACAGTAACAGTTTTTTGACAGCTTCCACTCAAAAGGGAAATATAAAATCACTGTTATATTTTAACAAAAATAATTTTTTTTTTCATTTCCATCTCTTCTATTTATCAGAGGAGAGGACTTATTCTGAGAAAATTTCTTAAATAAAATAATTTAGAGTTTAGTTTTTTTTTTTTTTCCCTTATACTACTTTTGAATGTTCTATCTCAGCAGCCTCTATAATCATCTGAGATAATGTGGACCACACACAAGAAAGAAAGCTGAGATGGACTTAGCACAGGAGAGAAATTAGTGCTTTACTTAGGCATGACATTGGGCGAGTCACTTGCTATTAGGTGCTGAGGTTTTCTATTCATAAATGTTTGACACCCACATACACTGCAGGGCTGTTGGAAAGGTTAGTGTGATAATGTTTGAGAAGTGCCTTGAACCGCTAAACAGTAAGGTGCTAGAGCCAATTTAAGAGATCATCTTTTTGAATAAGACTCAATAAACTCATCTCTTGTTCCTCTACTGAAAATATTAACAGGAGCTACAAAATGCCACAGTTTAGTAGAATTAGCAGATTATTCTTTATCATACCTCAACTGCATAATCAGTACAATTATGTCCCATTATCCTGCCTTTCCTCAAGCTGTTTAGTACCTAAAAGCTCTTCAAGCCTTACTATTCAAAAGCTGAATATGGGCCATCAATTTCTCCTTCTGTGCTACTTTCAGTTACCACAGCCTGAAGAGATCTTCAAAGAAATAGTTATTCACATGGCACTCACTCCCATCAATAACTCATTACTGCCTCATTCTGCAAAGCCAATTGGACTGTGTTTACAAGATTCAAACAAAGGTGGAGCAGAGAAGGGGGTTATGCCACGAAACTTCCTAAGTAGTATCAATGCCCAGGTGACTTGACCTTAACTTTTTAGGTTTCAATTTTATTGCCCATCACTAGCCTCTACTTGGCCCCCTTGTAATGTCCCTTTCCATCATACTAGCTTTAGTGCCTGGAGTAACTTTCTAATTAAGACCTTATTCATCAGTCATACACCATTGTATTCACAGACACAATTCTTCTTCTGTTTAAAAAGGAACTTTTTTCTTGAACTGTTAAAATTAAATTAGGGAAAATTTTATAGTTTCATATGATTATTCAAGCCCCAAGCCTACCAATATCAAGTATATTGGAAATTCTTAATACATGATTTGCTTATAAAATATGGTATGTGGTTAACCAAAGATTGATCATCATATTAGCGCATAATACCTGTCAATAAGTTAGCAATTTTTAAAGAATGAGAACATGATCAAATGTTTTTCACAACAAAATTAAAAATATATTTTTTCTGTGGGAAATATACTTCAAGATCATAATGAATCTCAAGCTTATCTTTATAGAACTATCGTTACACCTCAGACAGAAGTGGCAGATACTGTTAGTGGCCCCAATTGATGGATGTCCTGTATCAATACCCACTTGTTCTGCTGTTCTATAGGCTTCTCATATTTGACACTGGGTTCAGTCAGGTCACTTGATTTGGCCAAGTGGACAGGAACAAGCTTGACACTCGCAGAGACTTGAAAAAGTAAGTACTGGAAGATTTTTGCTTTTTCTCTTGCGCTTCTGCCTTCAGGATGTGGACACTCCTAGGCTAGCCCACTGGTAGATGAGACATACAGAGCTGAGTCAGCCCAGTGTCCCAGCCAAAGCCTCAGCCACGTCAGAGAACGCAGCTGCCTTGCTGATCTGCTGTTGCCTTTAGAGAGCTTTATCCGTCCCAGTTCAGATCAGTGGAGCCATCAGTCACATGACCATGAATAAAAACACATATTTACTAGAGCATGCCACTTGGGTTTGAGGATAACGTGACATAGCGTTTGCATTGCCATACATCACCGATATATGGAGGTATTATTAAGTAGAGATTTGAGGTTAATAGAATGCGAGGAAGCAGAGTTCACGATGCCCAAAATTAGTCTTGAAATCTGTTAGTACAAAATTCTTTTATGGAGCTACATAGTGACATATTATGAAACTTCAGAGGAAAAAAAATATTAATCTAAAATGTTCTTTAAATGTCATTTTACCATACTGAGCAAGCAAACATTGCTTCTGAAAGTCACTCCACTTCTCTCTTTTTTCTCCTAAACAGATAGATACATGTGCAAAGCTAGGAAGACAGTTTGAAGGAATGAAAAGTTTTTAAAAGCTGAGCAATGAGGGAAGCTATGCCTCTATAATGACTGTACCGCTGCTGAGAACACACACCCCGGATTTACCAAGAGATGAGAATGTCTGTGAAGGGGACCCCAGAAAACTTCTCTGACAACCTTGCCAAGACTGAAGGATGTGCACACCACCCCATCTTAGAAATGGTCGACGATGTTCTTCCCCTACACTGGGGTTCTTTAAACAACAAGATTCCACTCACTGCTCAGAATCTTTGCTCTTTCAGAAGCTCTGAAATGGAGCATCTAATACCAAATCACCAACCTTCCATGCCCATCCATGGGGTACGAGATATCACACAAGTTCAGCATCCCTCAAAGCCAAATCAAAGGTTTGAATTTGGCAGCAGGTGACATTTCTGGAATGTTGAACTGTACCTGCCTTTAAACTTGACTTGCTGTCATGGAAAAGTGGATATCTCAAATGTCCTCTTAGGAGCTGCAGTGAATTGGAGGGCATCCCTTTCTCAGTAGATGAATGAGATGACTGCTCTGTCCTTCTCATCCGCTTGATACTGAAGCTTCCAGTCAAGAATTCCAACATCCTGCCCTGCTCCTCACTGCTTCCATTACCTTAAGTCTCTTCTCCTCTGAACAGTTCCCAGATACAGGCTTACTTATCCCTGTGAAGAACACAATATTACTGTATTCTATAGTCTGAGGAAGGAAGCCTGGAAATATAGTTTTTACCACCCAAAAAGGTAAAAGCAATACTAGGGGGGAAAAAAATGGATCTTCTAATTCTCAATCTAGTACTTTTGCTATAGACAATGGGTATTCACTGCTGAAAAAACAGTGAAACAAACAATATGCACTTGTCATTCTCAAGTGGGAGGGAAATGTTATTAAAATTTTTTAACCAGAGGTACACACCTGATAAATGCATAATGGTAATGATGCTCCATTTAATAATTTCTACAGTCATTTTATTTTTTAAGAAAAAAATACGTATTTTATCATGCTCCTTCCTCCTTTCCTGACCTTTCTCATCTGTCTCCAGCTTCTTCTCCAATAGTGTTAGTGTTGGAAGAGTTTATCTAAAGAACATGATCACATGTTGTCCTACACAATGGACCCAGGCAACTGAATGCTTCTCACCCTCTCCCCTGTCCTAGGGGTGTAAATCCTGCCCACTGTTCCTACAGTAGGAGGCATTTCAAGGACGCAGCCTTGAGACAGTAAATTTATGGAAACCATCTGACAGTGTATGTAACTCAACCTTGTTAAGGCCTCTATATAAACTTTTAAGACTCTGGCTGATGGGTATGGAGACCTACTCATCTTGTAGCCACCTTAGACAAGCCTCATATGGAAGTTCTCTGGCTTATTAAGACAGCTACCTACTCAGGTGGAATGGGCTGCCTCTTTTTTCTGCCTTCTCTTATCCTCCATCTATGGGGACTGGTTTCAGACTTCAACCAGGGAATTCCCAAAGTTGTGAACTAAAAATCAGGAGTTCCAATTATGATTTAGAACTTTACAAAAGCAAGTCGATTATTGAAGAATTTACTCAAATGAATTTACTCCTACCACCTGACCTCAACCCTTGGAAAGAAAGATTCCAAGACTGATGGAGAAACAGTACAAGAAATTTAGTCTAAAGTTTAACTGCCCAAACTTCACTGACTCTGAATATCACAGATGGATTTCAGAAAATGATGTGAATTCTCAAAATACACAAATTTTAAATATACAAATTCACATGCCTTTCTTTTGAGGAAAAGTTAATGTGTATTATAAAGATTAAAAATGAAGGAGAATGATATTTAAAGAATGCTGCATGCATGCCCATAATGAAGTCATCATATATTTTTTAAAGTACCACAATTATACCATTCTTACCCCAAAATTTTTCATAAATGCTCCTCTTAAACTATTTTATTATGTTTCAGAAAGATTTGCCATATAGCATGCAATTTCAACTTTTATCAGTATAATCCAAGAAAAATCCCCTGTAATGTGCTTACAAATTTTATTTTCTTTTCCAAGCAGTATTCATAATACCTGTAGCAAAAAATACAGTTGTTACTGTTTCAGCCTTTGTGGCTGATTTGATGTTAAGGTACTTTTCCATTTTCAGCTATCTTCTGACACAACCCAAGTTTCCCAGCCTCATCAAGGGTTTGCATTCCAAACCACCTTGTTTCAGAAAACTCCCAAACCTATCACAATTTCATGAGTGATTTGTCCTACTGATAAGTTCTCCCTGGTTAGAATAATACACAGTGGAGTAATTTGGGAACTAGCTGCTTGGTCTAATTATTTGAAATATATTTTTGCTTAATAGCTATAAAAGCACTGGAGTCTTTTAAAGGTTTCTGTGACTAACATCAACTCAGAAATCGTGCATTTGTACACTCATCCCCCACCCCCAGCACACCTGGAACACAGCCCAGCCACTCCTGAAACCAGGCTTTCCAAAGACACAATATACATTTTTGTTTTTCAGAGCATGTTCCCAATTTTCACTTTCAATAGGAATATTTTTAGAGATCATTGAAAGCAAAATGTCTCGAAAATGTCTTCAAAACTTCTCTAAGTTTCTTTCCAAATGTCATGATTTTTGGAAAAGACCACACCAAGTGGTAAAGAGATGGACAAGACTGCAAACACTTCTAAAATCTCTTTGGAGATATTCCATGTACCACATTATATATGAACTGAGAAATGAAACATCTGTGACTAATACAAAATTGAGTCTGTCTTAAATTATAATTAACAGCAATGAGAAAATGTTGCCTGTTCACTTCTTCAGAGAATCAAATCATCTTTTTACCATTAAAAAGCTTAAGTCAATGATCATTATTTGTATAATTGCCCTGCCCAGTGCTTTTCCAAATTGCAGCTCAAGACTCACAACAGAATAAGAACAATGAGGACTCATGCCACAATTTAATAAGACCTTCAAAAATTAGTTTTCAGAGGACTTTCAGCTCTCCATAATACTTAATCTGTAAGACCTCTTTTTGGCCTCATATCAAATATTCATACCATCTTTTTCTTTGCACCAGACACTAAGTTGATAGAACTTAAGCTTCTAGCTTTAGAAAATATATAGTACTAATTTTTCTCCTGACAAAATCTCCAAGAGAATGTAACAAAGGAGAAGGGAATAAATTAAATGTCTTTAGGGACCCATGCTGAGGGCTCTAGGCTGTGCTCGTATAAGAGGAAATAAGCCCTTAGTATATCAGTGCTTCATCACAGACATGGGCACCTGATCCCCAAGGCCTCCCCAGCCTTTCCCCATTCCAACAGCATTGATACAGGCCCTTGACTTTAAATAGTTTAGTCTACATCTGCCTGCCAATGGTCTTTACAGTTTGGGACACATCACTCCTCCTTTCTAACTATCTAATTGCAATGCATTCTTCAAAGCTAGTTCTAGCCTTGCCTTCCATTTGAAGTTTCTTTGACAACTGATAATTTTGCTTTCTCCATGAACTCTCTGTCCTCCAAATTTCTATTATAGCCCCACGATCTTGCCTTCTTTAGTGTGTGGGTGCCATAACTCAACTCAACTAAAAGCTACTCAAAGGTAGGGTGCTGTTCTAGTCTTCATTAACAAGAACAGCAATTCCTTGTACCTGGGAAAACATTTTGGAAAACCATAAATTACTCTTCAAATTTCTACCTCCTTATATATTCCTTTCGATTTGAATTTCACAATAATTCTGTGAGGTAAGCCAGGACAGTCTTTTAATAATCATATTGTACAGACTTGAGAAGTTAAAAGTTAGATCTATTTGGTGGCAAACCAATGGTACCCTTGGTGAGACTATAAACCAGGTCTAGGGTTCTGTACATTAACAGTAGTTTCAAAGTTTTCACATGAGAATACCATTCAAACATCTAAAAATTCATAGACCCTGAAATAATTGTCATTGCACTTAATTTATGTCTCCCTTGACTCTGGTGCTTACCTTCCAAAGTTTAGGGCCCCTCTGATATCCAGTAAAGTCTGTGCCATGCCTCCACCCGCCTCCACCCACCTCCACGCCCGTACGTTCACCCAGTTAGTCTCTTGGCTGGCCCTCTTCCACTGACATCTGGGACTCCTGGTAATATAAATCATAGTTTCACTTGGAAAAATAATCACCTTCTCAACATCCTCCTACATCTTGGCCTTCCAGACTACCAGATCTGCTTGTCCCTAGCGAAGGGGGTTTCTATATTCTCTAGGCATAAGAGCCCATTGCATATTTTGGCAGCAAGCAATGTTCATCTAAACTTCAGAATGGTGTCTGGCATTCACATGAACAACTGGGTAAGAAGGACCAGTCGGGAAGCTATTGCATGAGCCTAAGCAAGCAGTGGTGAAGTCCTAAGGCAGTAGGAGTCATGTTTGGAAAGAAAAACAGGGGCTCTGACCAAGGAAGCCCTGAGCAATATACAATAGGGGATACAAAGATGGAATAATATGGCATAAGAAAGATATGATACATAGAGAAAATGGGAAACTGTTTGTTTATCCAGACAGCATCTCACTTTCTTTTCCATTCAGAAGCTCCTTCAAACCCGACCTCCTATAAAAAGTCTCTGAAGACTGTTGAGATGGACACCTTTCAGGTAGGTAGAACAAGGAAAACATACCTCTTTAGTAGAGTAAATGGGCTTCTTAGAAGTATTTTTTCCAGTTGGTGTCAGGACCAGGTGGTAAAGAACCCTTGAATGTTAGCGCTTGAGCTCGTTAGTTGCATGCACCATTCAGGAAAGCTGAAAAGAAGAGAATGCATGCGTGCTAAGCCAATTCAACCAGGTCCAACTCTCCGAGACCCTGTGGACTGTAGACTACCAGGCTTCTCCATCCATGGGAGTCTCCAGAAAAGAATACTGGAGTGGGTTGCCATGCCCTCCTTCAGGGGATCTTCACGACCCAGCGACTGAACCCACATCTCCTGCATCTCCTGAGTTGGCAGACAGGTTCTTTATCACTAGCACTACCTGGGAAGCCCCAAAAGAAGAGAATGTGTATGCTTAGTCGCTCAGTCGTGTCTGATTCTGTGGCCCCATGGACTGTAGCCCGCCTGGCTCCTCTGTCCATGGGATTCTCCAGGCAAGAACACTGGAGGGGTTGCCATGCCCTCCTCCAGGGGATCTTCCCAACCCAGGGATTGAACCCAGGTCTCCCACGTTGCAGGTGGAATCTTTACCACCACCAGGGAAGCCCATGAAGAAAAGAATACTAGGAGTCAAGTGATCTGCCGTCCTTGAACCTCAAGCATGAGATAAGGTGTGTGTGGGACACTTTGAATACTAGAAGGTGGTATTGTAATGTGACAGTGAATGACATCTCTGAGACACCTGAGATGGACTGAATACCGTCTTATACCAATTTCGGTGTATGGACTGATTGACTGGCTGATTATTATCCAAATCAGGTTTACCTGATTTCTTCTCTTTTTCCATTATTACTCCTCTAAGATATTTATTCTTTCCAATATATCAGGTTTAAAATATCAACCCTGTTGCCAAGTATTGAAATATTCACATTAAAATCACTGGCTTAAAGTTTAATTGTATTGATCTGATTTTTACAGGCGGCACTCACAAAAAATATTAACTATGCTATGCTGCAATGCAACATTGACTCAAATTGGCTTTGAATGTAAAACCCACCCTGCAATAATGCAATCCGTAAACACTCAGAAGCAAAGACAAAGCATAATCCATGCTGAATTTCACCTCCTCCCCTACTGATTCCACCTCTCCTTCGCTGTCTCTGTAGCGGTCTGTTAAGGAGCCTGCAAGCAGTGAGTGGTGCTCCATTTACTGAGAAACTGAGTAATCATGGACAGGAAAGCATCATCAACTTCTGACTGAAGGTCAGAGGCAGGTAAAAGTAACAAAGTATGAAAGCCAGGGAAACAAATAAATAAATTTTCCAGTTTGGGTTGGAGGTGTTAACTGAGATGAACTACAAGCAAATCACTTATACTCATCTCAAACTTCATGACCGAAAATTAGGTAATAATCTGACCCAACTCACATCAGTGAAAAGGATAGAAGCACGTTTGGGAGCCACCTGAGCAGGGTTCAAACCCAGGATTCTCACAAATCACACCAGTAGTCATTATTTCCTCTTGAAATTAGGAGAAATAATTTTTAAATCATCAGTGCCATAACAAGTATTAAATGAGATAATGTGAATATATTTTGTACGGAAGATATTTGCTAAGTGTTCTTTCCCTTCCTTCCTATTTTAAAGAGCTGTTATGGGCATCCAATTATAATAGAAATGGAGATAATTGAAAAAACTTTAAAGATCTATGCTAGTGTGTGTGTGAGTGTGTCTACCAGTCGTGTCCAACTCTTTGCCACCCCACGGACTATAGTCTGCGAGGCTCCCCTGTCCATGGGATTTCTCAGGCAAGAATACTGGAATGGGTTGCCATTTCCTTCTCCACTATGCAAGTGTAAAGCATTATTATTATGATTATGATCCTTCAACTCAATTTTCTCCTTTCATCCAGACACTGGTGTTCTTTAAAAAAATGGTTTGTGGATAAAAGACAAGCTGAGAGGAATAGAGTTAAAAAAAAACTAAAGCAGACAGTAGAATGCTAATGTTTCTTCATTTGTTTCCAGTTCCATGGTACTTGGTAAGTCAGCAAATAAAACCAATCAGTTCCAATTAACTTTCCTGGAAGTGAGGAACCAAAAATAAAAGAGAAAGCTATATACGTGTTTTTTAAAATCTTCTTGGTGGTGAAAAAGCCCCTGAAGTCTGTACAGTGAAAAAAAAAATGTGCAATGACATTACTAACAAAATGTGATTTGCTACCTGAAACAACACATAAGACCCTCTGGTGACTGGGAAAGAGAAAGATCCCCGGGTTTCTGTGGGTATTGTTCACAGCTGACTCACACAATTACTAATAGCAGAAGCACTCCAAGGAGTGCTGCTGTGTGGTTGCCAAAAAAAAGTGGATTTCCAAGGGTTGTATCCTAAATTCTGCAGTAATGATACCTCCAAAAATACCAATAAAAAGCAAAATTTCAATCTGCTCATGGTGTGAAGCTACCAGTCCTTTAGCATGCATGTATCAGAAGCTACCAGAAATAGTCTCAGCAATGCTACAGGTGGAACGGCTCTCCTTATAAAGATGCGCACATAAAAGGAACATCCACAATTGGACGTGACCCTGGGAGTATCGGGAGAAAGACTGAAAGTCAAGACACTCAGTTTAGCTTCAGAAGAGATTTATTTCAAGGCTCAAGTTTCAACTAGTTCATTTCTTGTTTAAGTAAAAAAAAAAAAGTTACTCTTTCTCCATATGACTTTAAAAACAGAATTCTTCAGTGCTGTCCCCAGAGAAGCTTAGTTATATAGGAAGGGAGATCTTTTAACTCCTGTAGAACTTCATTCTTTAAAACATGAGAGGATAAGGAACTAATGTATCTAGCTTTAAAAAGTGTTAAAATACAGGGAACATTGTAAAATGGTCATTTTAACTTAAATCCTAACATTTTCTTGTATCAGTTTTCCCAATTAATTTCTTCTCTTCACCCACAAATACAGTTGCATTCCATCAAGGGTCCTATGCCTTCAAATCAAAAAATATGGAATCGGTTTTCTCTTTCAATACCCTCATTTCTCAAGTAGGAAATATCTCACACTCATTATTGAATGTGACAATTCCTTGTCTTAATGCCATCGTAACTCCCCTGGATATGGAATTGTTAATGATAGGAAAATACTAGCCAAAAGGGAAACAAAATAGCATTGATGAGCTTTGCTCTAACGCTGTACATTAAAATTCTCTTCACTGTAGAGCTTTTTCATCTTTTGAAATTTGAAAAAGGGCTAAGATACATGCTAATTTTTTTTAAGTTCACACCATCTAGCAAAACCATCCAAATCATTTTGGTGTGCAGAGATTTTATTTCTAATCTTTCTCTGCAAAATGCTTTGTTAAATCCTGATGACAACTTTTATGCATAATGCATAAAATAAACTTTGCCAAAATCTAAGTCACTTTCAAAAGCATGTAAACCCCTTTAGAAGCAAAATGACACATTACAGGGCATGTCGTTGCAATACACTGGGAAAACCACACGGCAAGGTTGACAGAAAGCTCTGTGCTCTATATCATTAACTTCCAAATGTCTAATATGTGTACTTACCTCGGTTTACTTGCATTCAAAATTGTGTGCTACTTCTTAGAAGATTTTTCATATATCGATGCCTCATTTATGTACTACATAAATTCAACTCTTGTCTTCCACACTTCTGGGAATCTTCACACTTTAAAAAGACCAGGTACTTCCTTCATATAACCAGGAAAATCTTGTCACTGACCAAAAAATAATTTTGAAAATGTTTGTGTGTGTGAATTAGTATTTCTACACATGTATCTTTCATTTGATAAATTAGATAGGTAACTCCAGTTCAAATCTTATGGCTGTTTTTGCTTATTTAAAACCATAAAAATAGAGACTGGGAAGGAAAAAGACTTAGCATTCAAAAGTAGGTACTATAAATCCTGTCATGCAAGAGCCAAATAAAAAAAAAAAAAACAAATAAAAATCAGAATAATAACAATGTATCACTAGCCAGTGTCACTAAAATGATTTGTTTTACTCCTTTAATCTTTACCATATCTAAACTGACTGTAATAAATGAATAATCGCTCTGAATACAGAGCAGTTAATTGAAAAACTGCACCAAGTATAAAACCCAGAAATTATAACACACAATACAAGGTTTCATCAGTGTTTAAGAACTTGTCTTTGTCAATATTTTTAAGGTTCAGTGTAAATGATATTGTTTACTATCATATATCACAGACCCTCATGAATTATGTTAGATATCCTGTGAATATTAATTGCCTTAAGTTAAAGGACATTTCATCCGCACACATCCAGGTGTGAAATTCTGACAGAGTCAGGTTTCTTCCTCAAAGAAAATGGCGTGATCGAAACGAGCTTTATCTTGAAAGCCAAGTTTCTGAGGGCAACCCCTCTTCAAAAGGCATGTGCCAATTTGACAAAGAGTGGGCATCGCCTGGAATGGAAGGTGTGGCCTCTAGCTTTGGGGCAGGTTGTTTTTCAGAGTTCCCCTCTGGACATTCATTTACCATTGTGTGTACCAAACAATGCAAATCCTGAGAGGGGGGTGGATATTACAATGCAGAAACAAAAACTGCATTGTTGATTTCAAACAGTGTTGTCCTGAGAGAGCACACATTTGTGCAGGCATCCCACAGTAGACAAAGTAAGAATTTGTTGAATGGAAGCAAGGGGACAAAGACAAGTTGTTAATTATTTGGGCCAGTGGAACATGTCCTTTCTGGAAAATCTTTGAAAACCTATAGCACCTGAATTTGCATGAAAGTAGTATTATGTGAATATTTCTTTATTGAAAATAAAGCACTTCTGGCTCAGTTCAATAATAACAGCTTACAGGAGAGTAATTGAAGTTATCCAATTCTCTTCCCATTGAAAATGACTTACAGTACATACATACAGAGACACACACAGAAAAATCTGTCATGCCATTTTATTGATACTGAAGTAAAAAGGAATTGGGGTGAGGCACTGTGTGAGCATTTAATGCACTCCAAATGATGATATGGTCGGGGAAAATTATCCCTTTTTCTTCACGTTCCTTTTCCAAATTCTCATCTTGTTCTACCCCCTGCTGAGCTCCTATTGACTTCAAAGAGAGGTTCATGGGGGTCCAGAGCAAGATGAGAATTTGGCCCCGCGTGCATAATTTCTGTGCTCTCTTATTCATAACATACACAATAAGCGCAGGATTTGAAAAGGCTCTAACAGAGGCTGGTAATGGCTCCTGAACCATCACGTATCTTCTTGGTATACTAAATGATATCTTCAATTGTGCCAGTGGAAACACTGAACACTCTGAGGATAAGACCATGCCAAGTCTTTACCATTCTCCTCATCTATCATTATTACTCTAGCTAATAATAACAATATTTATGTGGTATTAGAATCATAATCTCATCGCTGAAATTTTTATAAGACCACAGGCATATCTGAATCTTTGTAATAAGGAGGATGTACAGAAAATTCTGAAATCTGCTCCCAGGAAATCTCACCATCCCAAGGTGCAAGAAGACATCATGTGGACCAGCATACAACAACAATCACATCAAATTACTGTGAATAATGATGAAGAAATAATGAGATGAAGTCACTTTTTAGAACACTGGTAGAGAAGATAAGTTAGTCTATTCTGTGATTGCAAATGTCATAGATGACATCCAAAGGAAAAGCTGAGAGATAAGGCTCGGGTGAGCCTGGAGGATGCACCTGAAAATTGGAGCATTGGGTAAAGAATATTATGGGGAGGGTGGAATGTGGGAATGCGTAATCAAGTTACAACCTGATGGAATCTGACCATCTTGGGAAGCAAGACACTATACCATGACATTAGTTTATTATTCACAAATGAAAGTTTTCAGTCAAGTACAGACATTGTAGCTAAATCAGTATCCCCAGTATATATTCGGTTCATCATTATTTCATCCTACAAAGTTTTTAACTAAGTGTGTGGTTAATCTAATATTGCCTCTTATTTTTCACTGTCCTGTCCTTAAAGGATTATTTGCATTCTCAAACACTGATGCCTTACTATCTATACTATACTATCAAAGACAGCCAAGTATGTGGATTTGCTGAGCAACTCATTTCCTTACATAATTTTTAGATAATCATTTTGACATTTCTTGGTATCCAGGATCCTCAAAAATAGCTGATATCCCTTCCTACTTAAAGTGCATTTATAACTTCGATGGGCAGCAAAGTGTTCTCCCCTATTTATAGATAAGGCCTGCAACTTACAGAAGGTAGTATACAAAAATTAGAGTGATGTCACAAATCCAGAAAGCACTTTATGACTTGTTTACAAAGAAGTTTAAATATTTTATTTCATTTGTTTCTCAACACTATTGGAGGTCCATTGAAGGGAAGAAAGAAGAACTTATAATTACCAGGGCAGCTTGCAACAGACCTCTTTGCTCTGGCAGATAAGGCATTTACTTAGTTAAGAAGTAGACATACTGCTTCTTTTGTCACTGACTTCCCTTTCCTGGATATCTCCCAGTAGCCTTAGCATACAACCTTTTTCTCAGTTTTTAGTATTGCTATTATCACCAGTATATGCAAAAAGGAAAAAATGACAGTAACTCAGAGATGCTATTATAAGTGTTGAGCTAGTAGTGTATACACTCTGCTTTTACTTCTTTGAGATGATCATTATATCAACATAATGTAATCTGTTGTTCTAGCTCTATGACTCAATAATGCATGCTTCTGCGGACTAAAGAGGGGAAACCAGGCTTATTTGATATCCACCGTTTTTCCCTCCTGATTCACTATTTAAAATGAAATTCATGGACAAGAAGTTCTATGGGTCCCCAGCACCTGAGTAAGCACTTAGTACAAAGTAGGTAATCAATAAATACCTTTAAAATGAATGAATCAGTCAGTGTGTATATTGTGTGCAGAGACACTCTTTTAAAATAATTATTTGATTCATTTGCCTTTAAGACCTTATTCTCAACTTGAAGCCAATTTAAAATTTTAGGCTCTGTGATTTCTTTTACTGCTGGGTCTCACTAATGTATGCATTTAAGGTGGACCTAAAAAGAGGAATTTAAAACAAAGGCAAAGAATTATAACTCAGGCTTTTCCTAGCTCATTGGGAAAGATGCCTTTCCTTAAAGAGACCTTTTCTCCTGTCTCTCCATGGTTGAGAAATCCAAAACAAAACACAACACACAGGCGAAAATCACATGTAAATGGTTGAAGCACTTGGCGTGCAACTGTCTCACATTCTCACAGCCTTAAGTAGTAGAAGATTATCCTTTTAACGAGGATAATTTTATTTTTCACTAGATATCTATCAAAGGAAAGATTACAACATAGCAGCTGGAACGCTGGAACCTACATAATGTATTGCGCATTTTAATCATGTTGGATAAAACACTCTTTCTATGGATATCAATTATACTAATGACTCTTATATAATACTCTCATTGTGCCTACGGGATATGTATTGTCACCTCTCCTTTGTCATAAAAATAGTAGCTCTGGATCCACACTGAAGTGGTTGCTTTCATTTTTATATAATGAATGAGTAACACTGTAAAAAAAGACATTTTATCCCATATTAGTTTAACAGAGTGAAGAGATTTCACATATGACAGTGCTAAATATACTCTTAAGCTGCTAATAAAGCCAAAGCCTGCGGGGAAAAATTCTAATGATGAGCAATGCCAGAAGTTTGTATTTCTGAAACTAAAGCAAAAATGTTCCACTTAGGTACATTCTAAATATCTTAAAAAGGAACAGGGATTTCTAATAATTTCATTTCCAATAAATCTCCCTAGTCAATTTGGAATCATTTTATTTGCAATAAATCTCCTCAGTCAGCCTGAAAGATAAGCACACATTTTTTTTTCTTTTCCCCGAGTGCAGTGTTATGGAGGAAGCTTCTTTTAATGTGTCCTTAAAATTAATAATGACAACAGAAGGTATGATTCATAGCCAGACTACTACATGCTTCCTATTTGTCAACAGAACAAAATTTTCTGCTAGAATGGTTGAAGAGTATTCACCTAAAAATAAATAAATGACCACGTGACCAAATCTCTCAGGTTGTATTCTAGAAATGCCTCGGCCAAGGGTCCATCAGTGTTTCCATTCTTTAGACTACCTGCTAGCAATGCTGGAGTTAAGGCTTTATGAGAATTTCTATTATAAACTTCTAGTTTCCAGGTTTAATAAATCAGTCATAAAAATGTGCTCAAAGCTGAAACTTGGCAAAGCAATTTAAAGACAAGAAAAAACTCTGCCTGGTCATTTTTAAGTTACACAAGTATAAAAAAGATACGGCTAGGAAGGAGTCTCAGAAGCATTCCCCCTACTAGTGGTTTTGAAGGCATATGATTTTAATTATACAGAAAATTGGTCAAGTGATTGGCCCATAGTATAGTCAGGATATTTGGGGTGGTTTGAAGGAAAAGGTAAAATAATGAAGTTATTTAAATTCCACCTAGAAGCTTTTAGATGTGCATTTTAAATGTCATAGTCTCTCCAGTTCACCAGAGTTTTTAAAAAAAGCACTGGATCATCACTTGCTTCTCTTTTTATTCAACTAAATAGGGTATCAATCTGAAAAGATCTTGGAAAATTCTTTCCAATTTAAGTACTGACATTTATAAGATAGGTATACATTTAATTATTTATGTAGCAAAATGGAATTACCTGCATTAATAGAAGTTTCTGGTTTCTCCAATTTCTCTTTACAAAAATTGCCTCTAAATTT